GTGTGGATGCCATCTGTGCCTACTACCAAGACCCTGCACATCCTGGGTTGGACATCAAAGAGCTGTACACAGAACTGAGAAATCTAACTCAGGAACTCACCCAGCTGGGTAACTACTCACTGGACAAGGACAGTCTGTATGTCAACGGTGAGTGTTCTCTGTGGTTTGCTATGGAATGTCCCAGGCATCCTTTATTTTTCTTATCTCTCTCAATATTATTGATAGTACTTTCTACACCAGTTCATTGTATTTTCTTAGTGCCTTGTTTCAAGAATCCAAAAGCACACACAGAACCTGGCAAGGAAATATGGGTGTTATGTATGTGAATCCTTTCCTTTATTTTTTTCTACCTCTGTTTTTCTTCCTCTGACATGACTTCTATTTTCTAGGTTATAATAAACCTCGTCCTGAAGAACCTTCTACAAGTAAGTACCAATTTAGCCTGATCTAGATCTTGGTCCATATTTTTTCTCCTTATTTCCAGTGAAGAACTCACCCAAATACAAACCAATCTCTTCAGAGAGGCTAAGGTCTCAATGGAAGCAAGATACAGAGCCATTGGACTATTCTTAAATTCAGCTCTAATGTTGGATTTCTGAATTTCCATATTCTTCTCAATTGAATAAAAGTGTTTGTAAAAGTGTAGCTCACAGTGTTATGGGGCTTAGTTTAAATGACTACTGTATACTTTATGTCCCCTAAAAAGAGCTATCTCTATCAGGGACTTCATTATCAAGCTGCAAAATCTGGATTACTAATTTAAGTATTTTTCTAAAATTGCCTTCTCTCTTGTATCTTTTCCAATTTATACTAGTTCTCTTTGAATATTATACCAGAAATTTGTGTTGCTGTTACATCAGTGAGCATGTGTTACCAGACCAGTCATCGTTGTAATTCAAAGCATTAGCAGTTGAGCAAGATTGGTGATAGCTTTCCTCCTCCAGTAGCATGCATAGGACCTTCCAGCACTCTGAAAGCCAGCCAGAAGGGATGAAACTTCCAGCTGAGTGGCAGTTTACCTCTCCATGTGCTATTACTCAAGTGCCTGGTATTTTCAGCAATACAAATCTAACCAAGAAGTTCTGGAGGGTAACCAAATACAATGGCATTAGGCTATACTGTTTGGGAGTCACTTGTACATCACTTGTCAATAACTCCAAAGGGAATAATCCATTCCTAGCACTGGATTTTATTTATCATCCAGTGGTGTCTAGTAGAGCATTGCCTCCCCATTATATAGCAACTCCATTTAGACACCTTATATGTGTGCATGCATATACTTTGGGAAACTTCTTTAGCATTAGATTTCTGCCTGACACTTTGCATATCCTTAGTATTCATTATTCCTCCCTGTATTCCCTTTCTACCTACTCATTTAACTAGGTACTTCCTTCTCCATCTTGTCCTTTCCATTTTATTTTTCCCTTTCCTCCTCAGTATCACCATATCCCATAAAATGAAATACATATATCTAAAGATTCAAAATCAACATCTACAAATGATACTCTCTTGCTCCAGGTTACATCACCCATAATGATTGTTTTCGACTTTATCTACTTACCTTCACATTTCTTAACTTTATCAATTTTAATTAAAATTTTATGTGATTTATTTTGTTTATGTGTTTATCTCCTCCAGCTCCATTCTGGTCCTTCTAACTTCCCTACTCATACAGCTTCATGCTCTTTTTCTCTTCTCTCTCTTTGTTTTTCTCTCTATCCCCCAAGTCCCCAAAAGACAAAAGTAAAATCCAAACAAACATACAAAAATCAAGAAGACAAATAAACTCAAAATGGAAGAAAATGAAACAAAATCTCATACCAATTTAAAACTGAAAAAAATAAGGTGTCTATTTTCTGTTGTTATACTGTTTCTGGGTCTGAGACACATCCTTCTGTGGATGTGACTAATACATCTAGTGACATTCCTTTGGAGAAAATTAATTTCCCCTCTCTTAGCTAGTACTCATTTCAAACAGCTTCTTGGTTAGGGGTCTACTTCCATTTTTCAGTCCTGTAATTTCCCGGTTTGAACTTGTACAGCTCAAAGCACTGTAGATGACTCTAAGGATATAGTATCTTCCAGATACAACAGGACTGGCACACATATGAACTCACAGAGACTGGGGCAATTGTATTATTCTTACCAGATTAAAAATATTGTTTAAATGTACCATGTTTTCATCTGTCCACCAGTTGGTGGACATCTAGACTGTGAAAATTTGCTAGATATTGTGAATAAAGTATCAATAAACATGGACATGCCTGTCTTTAATAGTAATATATAGACGCTCATGAATGTGTGCCCCAGAATGGTAACATTGGATCTTATACTAGGTCTATTTCATGCATTTTAGGGACTGCCACACTTATTTCTATAGTGGAAACATCCCGACTAGAAATGAATAATTGTTCCTCCTTCACCCATCTGTCAGCACTTGTAATCATTTTTTTGTGTGTGTGTTTGGTTAGATTTTTTTCTTTTTAATCTTAGCCATTGTGATAGGGAGACAGTAAAATTTTAAAGACATTTTAATTTTTTTTTTTACTGATACCTAGGTATGTTGATCATTTTTTAAAAAAAATATGTCTGCACAGTTTGTATTTCATTTTGTAAGAATTATCGGAGCCATTTCACAATTTTTATAGGATTTATTGTTTTCTTTTTGGATAATTTTTAATTTATTTGTATATTCTTGACACTAACCCTCTATCAAATATTTAGTTGATAATTTTTTTTTTTTTGCGAATCTGTAAGAAGCTACTTTGCTCAAACAGTGCTATCTTTTTTTCTAGAAAAGCTTTTTGATTCACAAGGACATGTGTATTCATTGTTATTCTTTAAGACTTTGCTATCCAGGTTCTCTCCCAAAAAAATTCTTCCTTGTGCCAATAAGTTCAAGTGTATTCCCCTTTTTCTCCTCAACTACATCAAGGTGCCGGGACTTATATAAAGGTTGTTTAATCATTTGGAGTTGAGTTTTGGGTGTGCAGTAGCCTACTCATCATTACCTTTACAGCTGTCCAGTCTTCCATTTTTCTACTTATTCCTGCATTCATCGCACATTTCCATCAATCCATCCATCCATTCACCCATCTATCCGTCTATCCATCCATCCATCCATCCATCCATCCATCCATCCATTCATTCTACTACCTATCCTTTTGAATTTCATTAGTTTCATCTCTTTCTCCTTCCTTCATGCATGATTGTGTTTATTACTCATTCACATTCATTGACAAACTCAAACTACTGTCCATATTCTAGGTCATACTACTTTTTTTCTTCATGCATTCATACATGCATCCACCTGACTTTTCATCAGACACATCTCTCCCTATATATTCATATATTCACCACCTGTATGAACACCCATTCTTCTGTCAGCTATTACCTATCTTTCAGTCCATTCAGTTATTTATATACCCATGTGCTCTGCTTGCTTAGATTTTAGCATGCTCTTTCTCTCTTTTATTCTGTGAACTCATATACCAATCCATTCATGTATCCATGCATGCAGTGTTTATCTATCCATCCATCCACATACCCATCTATTCAATTCTCATCTACTCATCTGTGTAACAATGCTATAATCTGCTCATCTCTGAATGCACAAACACATACACACTCACACACTTGTTAACCCATCATCAGGTTCATTCATTTAGTTGTTCTCTTCTCTACTAGCTTCCACCTAAACAAGATATTTTTTTGATTTTTATTGAATTACTTGGTCCTCCTTTTATATTTCTTTCCTTCTATCCTTTGTTTTTATATTTTCTATTCTCTTAATTCATCTGTGTTCTTTACTCAAACACTATATCTCAATATCTCAAGTTAATTCTGTTCATAGTATAATTCACTTCTCCACACAGTCACTCTTCAGTTTAGCTCATGGTTCCCCTGTGAATATTTGTTCTGCCTCTAATCATAGCTAAGAAAAATTCTCTCACTATGGACAGCCTTGTTGTATTTAGAAGGGGAAGGTTTTCAGAGGAAAATTCCTCCTGAGCTGAATCTCTAGGATGAGTAAGAACAGTCCAGATAAATGAAGCATGAAATGTTCTTGGAAATGGGGATTTCATCAATCACAATCCTTTCCACAGCTTATGAGCCAGTCACCACTACCCTACCTTCTCCATCTGCATCTCTGCAGCCAGAACCTGCCACAGGTAAGTCCGGATCCCATTGCCTGCATTTGAATAGATCTGCTACCTCAAACTTCCATGTCTGTCTTCCAGATAGAGCTAGGAAAAGAGTATGTGAAGTGTCAGGGTCATCTTCATATGTGCAAAGATCAGACTAACAAGCCACATGCCTGTTTGTAGTGTTGTTCAGAGTTTACTGGTTCTTCTATGTCAAATAGCAAAAAAAAAAAATCCCTTAGATAAGTCCACTGTCAGTCTAATGGAAGCAATTCTTCAATTTGTAGTCCCATGTGTGACAACCTGATGGCCATATTAGCCACTACAAGTGTCAAATCTTCAAGTGCACTTGACACTGAATGTACTCATGGAACCATAGTTGGTAATGTACTATAGATCATCCCAGTATGCGTTTTCATTTCAGAAAGAGCTCTTATTGTAGTTCTAGTATAGAAAACATCTTTAGAGATTGTATCCAACGAGTTTGCAGAATTGTGTGTTGTCATCTGATAATACCTGTGCTGGAATGAAGAGAGAATTAATGTGAAGAATGCTAAGAGAAGGTGATTTGTATGCTGTGGGGTTAAGAAGTTGCGTGGGGACGGGGAGAGGCTGGAGAGATGGCTCAGAGGTTAAGAGCACTGACTTCTCTTCCAGAGGTCCTGAGTTCAATTCCCAGCAACCACATGGTGGTGCACAGCCATCTGTAATGAAATCTGGTGCCCTCTTCTGACAGACAGATAGAACACTGTGTAAATAATAAATGAAAAAATCTAAAAAAAGAAAGAAAGAAAGAAAGAAAGAAAGAAAGAGAGAGAGAGAGAAAGAAAGAAGGAAAGAAGGAAAGAAAGAAGGAAAGAAAGAAAGAAAGAAAGAAAGAAAGAAAGAAAGAAAGAAAGAAAGAAAGAAGTTGTGTAGGTTCTGACTTGACTGGATATGTTGAGATGTGGTGGGAGAATGAAAGAGGAGCCAAACTAGTGAGAACAGGATTTTACTCTGGCATCAAGCACATTCTCAGTTGAATCTCTCTTCTCTTCCTGCAGCTATAGGGCACCATCTAGAAACCCTCACAATCAACTTCACCATAACCAACCTTCCATATTCATCAAATATGAGCAACGGCTCAGTTCTGTTCAACAAAACTGAGACTTTCCTCCAGTACCTGGTGAGAATCTTATCCCAGCAGCCTGGAGGAGATTGATCCGATATCACCCCTTTGCCCAACACCTGCTTTCATTTCCCTTCTCCTTCCTCATCCACAGCTTGGACACGTGTTCCAGAATGGCTCTCTCAACTCCAGTTGCAGACTGGATTCCCTCAGGTGAGTCTCCTTTCTGTCATTTTGCAAGGAATGAACTCTGCTCATTGTTACCATTCTCATTTCTCCTCCTTCCTTCTGGTTCTCATCTACACTATGACTTTTCTAAAGGCTCCACACTCCTCTCTTTCCAGGCCTAAGAAGAATGGAACAGTCACTGGTGTGGATGTCATCTGTGCCTACTACCAAAACCCTGCACATCCTGGGATGGATATCAAAGAGCTGTACACAGAACTGAGAAATCTAACTCAGGGAATCACCCAGCTTGGTAACTATTCACTGGACAAGGACAGTCTATATCTCAATGGTGAGTGTTCTCTCTGGTTTACTGTGGAATGTTCTTTAGAATTCTTTATGTTCATATACTTCCAATTATATGAAAATTTCTCTGAGCTTCTCAGCACAGATAGTATTCTTTATGCCTGAAAATTCAATAGTCATTCTAATCATATTGAGTTTTCATTTTTTTCTGCTCTACCTTTTAATACAAATCAATGCTTGTTGGTCAATCCTGAAATGTCATTTTCTATGGTTTTGAATATATCTATTTACAAACCCGTTTGATACCATGTCTATTTTGGACACAAATTAAGTTTCCCTGTGGGGCTAATTACTTTCTCAAATAAAGTTTTTTAGATTTTCAATACCAAGAATAAATTATTTCCTCTGAAATAAGTTCAAAATCCTTTATGAAATGAATTTGTTACCCATAACAATCATACAACAGTTGCACTTGTGAGCACATCTTTTCTGCCCATTTGGTATTGTTACACACAAGGCTCACAGACAGGTAAAAATATTATTTCGTTTTCTCTCTCAGCAGCCTGCATTTCACCTTCTGTTACAAGGTACACCAGTCAGCAGTGAATGAGTCTCTAGGTCATTTGAGGATTGCTTGTATCCTACATTCCAAAGTGTTGATATCTTGTCTTTCCAATTATTACACTCATTTTAATGATAAGAACTGAAGAGAGGGAAAGGGGAATTCAAACTCCTATAACAGGTTTACTACTAATCAGAATTTTGGTGTTCTCAGTTTCTATCTGATCACTATAATCTGGAATTGTGGGACATATATAGACTTTTAGCCTTCATAAAGTTAACAATTTATGTGGTTAAATAGGTTGTCTACTTAATAGTACCTAGCATCTTAGCCAAATATTAAGCTTGGCACCAGAGACAAGTAAGTTTCCTTGCAGTTTGTTCCAGTGTATACTACAGTGAGGCACAGACAGCACTGTATTCTTCAAATGAGAGTGGAGAAACCATGTATAGAAAAGACTCAATAAACATCAACTGGATGGATAGATAGCGGGATCATACAAGGGAAGATGGTAGTGTACATGGGTACATATCAATGAGGACTGAGGTATGACAATAGATCTTATGAGAAGCTCTTGTTAGGAGCATGCTCTACAAGTGGTAAGGACGTGTTGGATCTGACTGATATGGCAACAAATTCTTGTTCATGTTGATATTTATATTAGCTCTTAGAACATAAACAGCTGCTAAATAATTATGTACAAATACACTTATTCATATTTGTCCCAGGTGTACCAAGGCATGATGTAATATATAAAACCTTGTTGTTCATTACCCTTCTGTGTGTGCCTTTTGTGTTATAGGTTATAGTGAACATGATGCAGAAGGACTTCCTACAAGTATGTATAATTTTGGCCTATCTAGGTCTTGGTTCATACATTTCTATTCATTTCTAAAAGAAACTTTCCCTAAGCATAAACTAATCTTTTTAGAGACTAAGACCTTAGTGTAAGAAAATTTGCTGTCCCTGGCCTCTTCTTGGAATTCCAGTTCAAGCTTTAGATTTCCAGTTTTTCTTCACTTTGCTTAATTGAAGCTAGATGTTTATACAAATGTTGTCTATAGAATTATAGGGCTGAATCCAGATGAAGATTGTAGTTTTTAACACAATCTTTTTAACACAAATAAAATGTCCCCTAGTGGGAGCTTAATTATTAAGTTGAAAATTCTGATGGCTACTAAAGTGATTTTTGTAAAAATGTTCACATTCTCTTGTTCAGGAATCAATTCCTCTGTCTTTCTAGCTATCCATTTTTTTTCACTTTTCTACTTATTCATCCTCTGGCACCACATTTCCTCCTATCCATCCACATATCTACTTGTCCTTCCTCCCATCCACTTCCTTGCCCATTCTCATGTATTACTACCTTCATTCCATCTGTTTTTCCTTCAACTTCTCATTTCTTAATCCATTTTCACCCCCTACATTCATTCATCAATATTTCCACCCATTGTCTTACTTATCCCTCATTAATTAATTCTTTGCTTTGTTTGTCTATCTGCCAAAACATGCATACCTACCTACCAAACCATCTAACCAGCTAGATAACCACCCACCTACCTAGTTACCCATCCATATAACTACCTACTTCTGCATCTGTCAGTTTGTCCATTCATTTACAAATCACCTCATTCTGTCCATTTGCCTGCTTGAAATTACTTCTTTCTAACTTTTATTAATCTACATATATATATATATACATATACATATATCCAACTGTCTATCTATTCACCTACTCTCTAGACTGACCCATATGTCTAAACATGTATCTAATTTGTCAGTCTATCTACCCATCTACCAACATTCTCTGTCCTGTTATCTTCTTGGCATTTGTTGCCCCCAACCTGTCCTTTCTCTCTATATCCATCCATCCATCCATCCATATATCCATCCATCCATCCATCCATCCATCCATATATCTATCCATCCATATATCCATCCATCCATCCATCCATCCATCCATCCATCCATATATCCATCCATCCATCCATCCATATATCCACCCATCCATATATCCATCCATCCATCCATCCATCCATCCATCCATCCATCCATCCATCCATTCATCCACATGTCCACCCACACCAATCATGCATCCATCACCCATATATCCATCTACACACCCACATGTCCATCTATCATCATGTACATATATTTATCCACTCTTCCTTAAATCTTCCATCATTCTACCATCTCTTTATTTTTCTTCTTAAATTTGTTTTGACTATCTATTTATCTATCATACTGATACTGATGCATTCATCTCTTCTGAATTTTTTGTCTTCCAGTTCATCTGGCCTATTTGCTTACCACTTTCTACCACCCGCTCTCCACTTTCTACCACCTGCTATCCACTTTCTATCACCTGCTATCCATTTTCACTACCTTGAATGGATTATATTCACAGGCTTGTCCCCCTCCATTCAGGCAATTACTCTTTTCTTTACTCCTATTCATGAACCACTTGGTAATAATTTTCGTGGCTTGGACCACTAATGGAAGATCCTCTCATTATATGAAGTCTCTTTTCATCTTGATGACAATCTTTTCCCAGCTACTGAGTCACCCACCACCATCCTGGCTTCTCCATCGACATCTGTGCAGCCAGAACCCATAACAGGTATGTCAGAGCTCTTTTTCCTATCTGAGATGGGATTCCCATTCCACTCTCTAACTTCCACATGACTAGTAGAAAACTAGGATGTGAATATTGTAATGTCAAGGTCATTTACAATAATAAACAAATAAACAATCATTCTAATAATAAAGAGAATTCTAGCAATTTAATCAAATGCTTCCTTTCATGCATCCACCAGACTCTGAATTGGTAATTATGATGCAGTAAGGAATTTTAGTGGAAGAGGAGTGAGTTGGCATAATATAAAGAAGGAATGGCTTTCTGGAGATGTTACACCTGAACTGAGCATGCCACCATACGGAATGGACTCCAACAAGCTAGTTCATGCAACAAGGCTAGATTCTGGTCCTACTGCCAGTGACCCCAAAGAGAGTCCTAGTTTCACCACTGTCTCCCACATATGGAGACCCTAGTTCGGTACCATGGAATCTCTAGTGTTCACAACTGTCAGTCTAGTGTTCATGAGCTTCCACAAATTTATTTCAGCTGTCACTGTAGGTTTCTCTATCTTGCACCTATATTCCTTCCACCCTCTCTTCATCTGGACTCCTGGAGCATGGTTTGGTGCTTGGTTGTAGGTCCTGCATCTGGTTCCATCAGTTACTGGATGAGGTTCTGTGTGATAGTTAGTGTGTTCACCAATCGAATTGCAGGGAAGGCCAGTTTGGGCACCCTCTCCACTATTGCCAGAAGTCTTAGCTAAGGTCATCCTTGTAGATTTGGGGGAATTTCCCTAGCACCAGGTTTCTCACTAACCCCACATTGACTCTCTCTTTCATTATTCTACCGCTCCATCTCTCTCCCACCTCAACTATCCCATTCTCTCACATTCTCATCTCTCATTCCCTCCCCTTTACTGAGCCCCCTAGCCCCCAGGAGATCTCATCTAATTCCCATTTTCAGAGTGATCCATGTGTCTCTGGTAGGGTCTTCCTTGTTGTCTAGCTTCTCTAGAGCTGTGGCTATCCTTTGGTTTAAATCTACAGTTCACTTATGAGTGAGTATATACCATGATTGTCTTTCTGAGTCTGGGTTACCTCACTAAGGATGGGTATTTTTCTAGTTCCACTAATTTGCCTGCAGATTTCCTGATGTCATTGTTATTTTATCTTTTTTTAACAGCTGAATAATACTCTGTTGTGTAAATGCACCACATATTCTTTATCCATTCTTCAGTACAGGGGCATCTAGTTTCTTTCCAGGTTCTAGCTATTACAAATAATGCTTCTATGAACACTGTTGAACAAGTGTCCTTGTGCTATGATTGAGTATCCTTTAGGTATATGCCCAGGAGTGGGATTGCTGGGTCTTCAGGTAAATTGATTTCCAGATTTCTGAGAAACCGCCATACTGATTTGCAAAGTGGCTGTCCAAGTTTGCACTCCCGTCAGCAGTGGAGCAGTGTTCTCCCTTACTCTACATCCTCTCCGACATAAGCCGTTCGCAATATTTCTATCTAAACCATTTTGACAGGTGTAACAAGGTATCTCAGAGTCAGGGATTTTGCTGTCTCCAGAAGTTCCTTTCCTGTACAGGATTGATTTGGCTATCCTAGGCATTTTGCTTTTCCGTATGAAACGGAGTATTGTTCTTTGGAGGTCTGTGAAGAATTTTTCTGGGATTTTGATGGGCATTGCATTGAATCTGTAGCTTGCTATTGGTAAGATTGCCATCTTTACTATGTTAATTCTACCTACCCAAGAAAATGGGAATTCTTTCCATTTTCTGGTGTGTTCTTCGATTTTTTTCTACGAAGATTTAAAGTTCTTGTCATACAGGTCTTCCACTTGTTTGGTTAGAGTTACTCCAAGGTATTTTATGGTGTTTGTGGCTGTTGTGAAAGGTGATGTCTCTCTGACTTCTTTCTCAGCACATTTATCATCTGTGTACAGGAAGGCTACTGATTTTTTTTAGTTAATCTTGTGTCCTGCTACATTACTGAAGGTGTTTATAAGTTATAGAAGTTCCCTAGTAGAATTTTGGGGATCAGATATGTAAATTATCATATCGCTAGAAAATAGTGAGAGATTGACTTCTTCTTTTCTGGTTTTGTATCCCCCTTGATCTCCTTTTGGTGTCTTATTGCCCTAACTAGAACCTTAAGTACTATATTGAATAGATATGGAGAGAGTGGACAACCTTGTCTTATTCCTCATTTCAGTGGGATCACTTTGAGTTTCTCCCCATTTAATTTAATGTTGGCTGATGACTTGCTGTGTATTGCCTTTATTATGTTTAGGTATGTTCCTTGTATCCCTGCTCTCTCCAAAACCTAGATCATGAAAGAATATTGTATTTAGTGGAAGGCTTTTTCAGCATCTAATGAGACGATCATGTGGCCTTTTCTCAGTTTGTTTATATGGTGGATTACATTGATAGATTTTTATATGTTGAAACATTCCTGCATCTCTAGAATAAAACTGACTTAATAATGGTGGATGATTTTTCTGACATATTCTTGGATTTGGTTTGCTAGTACTTTATTGAGTATTTTTACATCAATGTTCATGAGTGAAATTGGACTGTAATTCTCTTTCTTAGTAATATCTGTATGTAGTTTGGGTATCAGGGTAATTGTAGTCTCTTGTTTTATGTTTGTTTGGTTGGTTGGTTTTGGTTTTTTGAGAAAGGGTTTCTCTGTAGCTTTTGAGCCTGTCCTGGAAGAAAAGAAGAAATTAAATACTTCCTAAATTTCAATAAAAATGACCACACAACATACCAAAATTTATGGGACAAAGTGATAGCAGTATTAAGAGGAAAGTTCACAGCACTAAATGCCTGCATAAAGAAGCTGGAAAAATCCCACACTAGTGAGTTAACAGACACCTGAAAACTCTAGAACAAAAGGAAGAAAACTCACCCAGGAGGATTAGACAGCAGTAAATAATCAAATTGAGAGCTGAAATCAACAAAATAGAAACAAAAAAACAATACAAAGAATCAATGAGACAAAGAGTTGGCACACAGATACACACACACACACACACACACACACACACACACAGAGAGAGAGAGAGAACTATTCTATTCATTGCCTCTTTAAGTTTTATATATTTTTCTACTCAGAATTGTTTTTGAAATTATATATAACAATTTTACAAAATAATTTTTCCACTTATAAGTGAGATCAAATGATGTGTATTTTTCCATAATTTATGTCACATGATATAATAGCTTCCGAGCTGATCTGTGACAAATGTTAATTCAATATCCAACTGTCTGACCCATGTGTTCCTTGGGAAAAGGATTATAGATCCTTCCATATGGGATTCCTTCATGTGAGCGAGTCTCACATGAGCAGCAGTGTGCTGTGGAAGCTCAGAGGAATGGTGAGAGTAGGAGGGAGTCCTGAAATGGAATCTCATGTGACTGACAGTGCAGGAGAGAGGTGTGCGTGCTTTCCTCAAGACCTAGCATGTTGGACTCCTGAAGCAGAAATGCAGGTTTTCTGAGTGAAGAAGGTGGAAGAACATTCCAGAAAATAGAACCAGAGTAGGCAAAAAGAAATATCTGAGTAATATGAACCTCTGTAAAATTTTGATTCCTCTTACTCTGGAGTTTCTTTCCATTTGTGAGTCCTCTATGTCCCATGATGGAATGTTTAGTGGATTGATCCTGTATCAACCTTGGTACAAAATGATAACCACAGCTCATAAGTACAGGTCATAAGTACAGCAGTGCTGTTATGCCTTTAAGATACTGATTTGCTCCAGTCCTTGCAGACCTCTGGCTCTTACAATCTTTCCACCCCCTATTCCATCATGGTTCCTAAACCTAACAGGGGCAGTGTGTCCCATTTGTGGCTGAACACACCAGAGAAATTTATTCTCTTCACTTTGATCAGTTATGAATTTCCTTATAGCTGTTGTCGTTGTCTATTGTGCAAGAGGACTTCTCTTGGTAAGATCTGAAAGTAACATTAATATATTAATAAGAGAGATATGAATTTATAAGGTAGTTTATACTATGTAAATTTAGCAGAATAAAAGTAGTAGGTCATTGTTCCCAGTTGTTTATGTGGGTGTTAGGGATTCAACTCAGGTCTTCGTGCTTGTGCAGTGAGTGCAAACTGACTGAGTGGCTGAGCCATCTCCTTAGTGCCCTACAAACTAACTAAGATGAGCTGCCTCCCTGGGTGCCTATAATGAATAAAGAATGGTTGATTGGTTGTTGACAAATAGTTAACATGGAAATTTTCTCTCTCTCTCTCTCTCTCTCTCTCTCTCTCTCTCTCTCTCTCTCTCTCTCTCTGTCTGTCTGTCTGTCTCTGTCTCTCTCTTTAGACATGAAGCCAACCACTCTTCTGCCAACAGAAATCCCAACAACCAGTACCAGCTCTCAGCATTTCAACTTGAACTTCACCATCACCAACCTACCCTACTCCCAAGACATAGCCCAGCCAGGCACCACCAAACACCAGCAAAACAAGAGAAGCATTGAATATGCGGTAAGAATCATGTTGCTTGTCCACTTACCCCCCTGACAGAAGCTGACTGTTGACACTGGGTCAGTGGGTAATTTTTTAAAAAATGAGAGTTCTCAAGAACACGTTCTTATTCCTATTTATAAATTGTGAAGAACACAAGAGACCCAGTAGCTGGCAAAGGGTGCTACAGCTGTGCCATACCCTGGAACAAGACTTCCTATGTTTGGGCTTGCATTTGTCAATGAAAACATAGTTCAGAAAGGATACTTAGTGGCTGTTAAATTTCTTTGACAGTGGAACCTGAGGTTCTGACATAGGAAATATTCCCCTCTCTTTCAGCTCAACCAGCTTTTCAGAAACAGCAGCATCAAGAGTTATTTTTCTGACTGTCAAGTTTTAGCCTTCAGGTAAGGGCCAATTCAGGACCTGCTGGCCCTGAGGACTTTTTGGTTTCACGCTCATTATGTAACTGAATACGACCCTGAATTTCTGCTCTCACTACCTCCACCTCTGGTGCAGAATGCTGGCTTTACAACACTGCACCATCAAATCTGGGAAATTACTAATGTGTAGAGGCTCTACAGGAACCGTCATGGGACAGCACTCCCCTCTAGTGGTCTGGTCAGGGATAGCAGTTACAATGTACATTCAAACGGGGAGGGGGCAGATGCCTCAGTAAGTAAAATGGAGACCTGAGCTTGAATCCCTAGAACCCATCTAGAAACTTGGCATGGCCTTGTGCACATGTTACCCCAGAGCTGGACAGGGGAAGAGAAACTTAAAATAGTTTCTGTTTCATAATTTCTTGGTTCCTATTTTAGGAAAGACAGCCTAAGGGATATAAAATTGTTGCCTAAAAGCTAGCTTTTTCCTAAAACAGGAAGTCAAACCATCTTAGAAACTTAACTGAGTTTGTGAAGCCAACCAGATATGATGGCAATTGGTAGGCGGGGTCATAGAATCCAGAGAGTAGAACTACAGCAAATGCACACCTGCATAAAATTGACAATATTCGAACAATCACACACACATACACACTCATGCACACATACACACACACAAATACAGACATACATACACATACACACACAAATAAACAATAAAAATAATTTTCAATAAGATTGCAGAATCATGCCTAAGGCGAGATCTAGGAGCCCATGGTACTGCAGACTCCATGTGATTATGATTCATTGTTGACGACCTCTGCCAAGTATATCCATTTAGCAAAATAATACTAGTGGGTTCACTCAATGTGGCTATGAGCTCCACAACTCTGGGTTCTCGGTCAGATTTAAAGTACTGGGCATATGTTTCCTTCTGTAGAGCAAGCAGGTCTTAAATCCAGTTGGAAAGCAATTGGTTACCCCTATACCATTTGTGCCATTATGGAACCCATGAGAAAGTCTTGCCAGACTGGTCATAATTGTAGCTCCCAGGGTTAACAGCTGAGTGAGAATGCTAGTGACCCCCACCCCAAAATCTTGCATAGCACCTCCCAGTGCTGTGAAAGCTGGCCATTAGGGATGAATCTTCCTGGTCAGTTTCAGCTAGTGAGCTCATGAATGCAGTGACCCAGTTATATCGGGAGAACACTATCTCACAGCCCTCCTCCCTGACCTCTGGCTCGTAAAATCTTTCTGCCCCCTTAGACAATGATCACAGAACCTTCAGAGGAATGTAATACAGAATACTTAGTATAAAGTAGCAATATGATACAACTAATACCTGTATCTGAAAGTGCAGGTACAGAATGTTGACATTGTTGGACAAAATTCTCCGAGAAAGAGAATAGTCACAGAGAGTGTATAATAAATGTAGAATAAGAAACACCCCTCTTCATCCTCTGTGCCTTTTCAGGTCTGTCTCCAACAGCAACCACACAGGGGTAGATTCCCTGTGTAACTTCTCACCATTGGCTCGGCGAGTGGACAGAATTGCTATCTATGAGGAATTCCTTCGGATGACACAGAATGGTACTCAGTTGCTGAATTTCACACTGGACAGGAAGAGTGTCGTTGTGGATGGTAAGATTCCCTGGTCAGGGAAGGCAAGATGATATTCCCAGCATGGGTTCTTAGATTTTTTTTCAGGGAAAATTTATGATGTCTAATTGATTTTAAAATTTGAATGAAAATGCTCAAGGAAACAAGGGTGGTAAATGGCAATCATTTGCAAATACTATTATAATTGGATAAAATAGTTAAATTTCAGCAGTGAATTATTACATTATTCTGTCTACTTTTGTATTTCTGTAATGTTTTATTTAAATGAATAGTCAGGCATAATGTTGAGTATCTTTAATCTAAGGTCTATGGAGGCAGAGGCAGGTAGATCTCTCTGAGTTCAAGGTCAGCCTGGAATAAATGGTGAGTTCCAGGTCAGCTGGGGCATAATTAGATCCTGTCTCAAAAGAACAAAAAATTTTAAAAAGAGAAAGTAAAGAATGACTGAGGGTTTATATCAGTGGTACAAAACTATTCTCCCATGCCTAAGACCTTGTATTTATACCTAGCCTCAGATAGTAAAGAAGGCCAGCCAAACAATGTAGGACATGCCTTTAATCCCAGCACTCAGGAGGAAGAAGCAGGAGAATCTCTGAGTTTGAGGTCAGCCTAGTTTACAGAGTGAGTTCTAAGACAGCTAGGGGCTACACAAAGAAACCCTGTCTTGAAAAAGTTCAAAATAAATAAGTAAATAAATAATTAAGACAGGCTCATGTGCATTCTGTTTTCTTTTATTTCCAGGGTATTCTTCAAACAGGGATGACAATGTGATAAAGAATTCTGGTAAGTTTCGGAGTCATCCATGCTGGGGCATCATAAGGAGCACCTTCTCCGTAACATTGTCACCAAGTGTGGTGTGCAGAGGATCAGGATGAAGGAGGGTCAAACCATGGCAAGGACTGATGAGACCGAGTGGACAGACATTAAGGATTCCGTCATAATGGAAGCCCATACGGGAAGAAATGGGATGTGGAGTCATGTGAAGTCGAATCACTAAGCTCCCTCCACAAGATTCATACCCATCCTCAGGAGGGATTGCCAGGAGGGGGAAATGGGGGATTCATTCCACTGTTTGTCTCCCCAGGTCTTCCCTTCTGGGCCATCATTCTCATCTGCTTGGCAGTACTACTGATATTCATCACATGCCTGATATGCTGTTTCCTGGTGAGCAAGGAAGTGTATGGGGTTCCTTGTATTCTCATTACTGAATTATTAAGAACTTTTAAACAGGCAAGACTCATATAGCACTTCTTTGGTCGAGGATGGTCCTAGGATGGGAGAGTTAGGTCACATCAGTGATAGTGTTCTCCAAAAATGATGCTGCCTAGCGTCATTGTAGCCATCTAAGCTTGTTTAAGTGCTGTCTATAATGTTTGTATAATAACACTGCACTTATAAAATAAGGCCCTAGAGTTATACAGTACAACTGTTTATTATACATAAACAAGTCCTTTGCTGGTGATATGATTTATGAACATTTTCTTCTAGATTATATGTGGCCGGTCACTTTAATCTCTCTTTTCTAATTTTCCTGCTATTGATAGTTATTTCTTTATTTACTTTTATCCCGGGAGAGCTTCAAATTTACTAGGTGGCAGAGAAGGATCTTGAGTTTAAGGACTCCCCCACCTTTCAGTTTCTGCCCCCCTCCACAAGTAATGGGATGATAAGTGTGTTTTACCATGCCTAGTATCTATTTTATTTCTATTTGGCAGATAATGTGTAGTCGTATGATTTACAAGGTATTCATTAAATGACTAAACCAAGTAAATATCATCATATCCTTCTGTGTGGTATGACTCTTACCCTGGGCATTTCTGAAATATATATTACATTAACTGTAGTCAGCATGCTCTACAATCGATCTTAAAGTTCCAACATTAGTCGTTAGTGAAATGTACACAGTGATATAGCAAAATGAATAAAACAATAACTAGAAGGCTGATATTAGTAAGTGTTGGCAAAGATTTGAAGAAATAGGAACTCTTACTGAGAGCTAGCAGAATATAGGTTGATCATTTCTTTGAGTGTTATATATACTTGCCATAGGACACAACCATTCCTATTAATTTATGCAAGAAAAATTAACATGCCTTTCTACAAGACCTATACAAGTTCAAGCCAGACAAAATTCCGGCACTGAAAGGGGGAAGGAGATACAAAGTTCCACCCTTAACCAAGAAGTTCTTTACAATTGATCTTTGCTGGCAAAGGGACAAATGATTTTTCTTCAGTGGAGTGTCACTACGTATATTAACCACACTCCAGGGCAGGAACCATGGCAGGAGTAGTTAGCCAACATAAAAATGAATTTCATTGGGATTTTTTTGGGTGGTGGGATGGGAATTTTTTGTTTTGTTTCGGCACTCTTTTGTCTTATTGGATTTTCATTTTGATTTTTTTCTTGCTTTTTTAAGAGAGAGAAAACAAAAGATCAGGAAGTCAATTGAGTTACGGAGTTGGAGAAGATCTGAGGGAAGTTGGGGGAGGGAAAACGAACAAAATATATCGTAAGAAAAAGTTCTTTAGAAGACTATAAAGAAAGAGAGACCACCTATCCAAAGACCTGTACAAAAATGGGCATAATTACGTTTTTAGTCATAGCCAAATCAAAAAGAAAAGGAAAGAAAAAAGAGAGAATGAACTCAACCTGAAAGTAAAACAGAACCTGGCTGGCTGGCTAATTCATTCTTATGACTTTTCCTGATTCTCACAGGTGTCTGTCTGCAGAAGAAAAAAGGAGGGAGACTACCAGGTTCAGCGTCACCGCCTAGGTTATTACCTGCCTCACCTAGACCTGAGGAAGCTCCCGTGACTCCACCTGCCAGCAGCACCTTTCCCCTAGCAGGGTCCAAAGAATAAATAAGCCACATGGGTCAGATTCAGCACCTGTGACTTTCTTGATTTGATCCCTGAGGAGGTCCCTGGAGACAAGAGAGAAATGTTCCTCCTTTGTTAAATCCTGGTGGAGACTTAGTTGTGGTCTGTGGCCTCATGGTAACCCATTCTTCAAGCATAACAGAATTCATCAAACTGTTGTATTGGTTACTTTGGGGCTGCTAAAACAAAATATCTGACAACAGCAACATAAAGGAAAGATGTTCCAGGTTCTGTTGACTCCTCATGGAAGATCTTACCCTTTGGGGGGAGTGGATGGCGGGGAATGGGATGAGATGGGGGCAAGAGGGAGTGGGAGGATGGGAGGGAGGGGAAACTGTGGTTGCTTTGTACAATGAATAAAAAATGTAAAATAAAAGATGGTTTAGTTTGGCTTACAGTTCCGGGGAAACACAGTCAGTTATGGTGGAGATAAGGTGGTGGCTGGAGCAGGCACCAAGCTAGTTATGTTACACACGCAGTTAAGGACAGAGAACAAGAAGCAGGGCAATGCTATAAACATCTCAAAGCCCATCACCCTATGAACCTCTTCTTCCAGCAAAGCTCCATTTCACAACTTTCTCACAACCACCCCAGTGTCAGCAGCTGGAGAGACCAAGTGATCAAATATGTGAGACTCTAAGGAACAATATCTACTTTCAAACCACACCAGTATAGAAATTGTCATGGTGTAAAATGAACACATCCCTTCAATGTGGTGTGCACACTCCTAGTCACACACTGAATGCCTTCCCTTGACTCCAGTGACAGTCATCACACTGATGTGTGCTTCTCCGATTCCTCAGCCCCATGAAGGTCTGCCCATCTCAAGTTTCTCTTAAATTCTTTGAATTTGTCTTCCATAGGATTTCCACCCAAATCCTCTTGGGTCATTTCCCTCTCTCCTTCTGAATCATCCCAAATGGGAAGTATGTGAAGAAATGAGTGATTGGGTCAGAAATGACTCCAAAACCAGAGTTAGAACTTGGAACCTTACAGCATTATAGAAGACTAACATGGAAGAAGACAATAGGAAAAGTCAAACCATTTAAATTTTCTTTTATCTTCTTGTGCCCTGAACACAAGTAAACAGTATAGACCTTTCTTTTCCAGCAGACACACACCATTACAGAAAACCACAACCAATCAAAATGCAGAGTTGTGGAGTTCAGTCCCGATGTATATACATATAACACAACCCCTGAACCTAAGGTTTAGGAATCATTGCTAAGAAGGGGCAAAAAGACTGTAAAGGCAAAAAAGGGGGGTTACTGTGAGATTGTGCCTTCTGAGAATGTCAGAAGGCAAAAATATTTTTTAAACACTACTAGTAAAATGATGCAAGACTATTAGGTATCTAGTAAATGATGACTTAGAAGTTAAGAGTACTTTATGTTTCTCCAGAGAACCTGGGTTTGTTTCCCAGAACCTGTATGGAAGCACCCAACTGTCTATAATTCAAGTTCCAGGGGAACCGATACCCTTTTCTGGCCTTCATGGGCACCAACCCTGCATACTGTTCACAGACATACATGCAGGTAAAACACTCATGTACATAAACATTTTTAAAAAAATAATAAAATGGTCAGTGAATATAGGACTATAAAGAGCTTAGAAAAAAAGTTTTCTCATCTCAAAAAATAAATTATTGGGGCTAGAGACTTGGTTCAATACTTAAGATCATTTAAAACTCTCGCAGCGGGCCCAAGTTTGATTCCCAACACCAGAGCCTGATGGCTTACAACTGCCTATAGCTACAGTTCCAGGAAATACAAAACCTTCTGGTCCCTTCATGCACCTCTTCTCACGTGCACATAGCAACACACAGACACACATAATTAAAAATAATTTGCTATGTATATGCTTTCATCTATGTCTATGTATTGTGTGTGTGCCTGGTATCTGTGGAGATCAGAAGAGAGCAATGGATCCCCTCGGAACTGAAATTACAGATAGTTGCAACCCGCTATGTAGATGTGGGGGAGTTATACTTGGCCAGTGAACTTCATCACAGAGCCATCTCTCCAGCCCCCAAAATGATTTTAAAAAATAATAATTACTGGCTGGGTGATGTAGGTCTATGATAGAGTATTCACCAGGTATGAGCAGAAAGTTGGGTTTGACCTTTAATACAGAGAAAGAGGTGGGTAGAGTAAGAGAAAAATAATAATTATCATTTATATTTTTTGCATTGCACAAAAAATTTTAATGAAGTGTTGTCAAGTTTAAAGTTTCAACATCTCAAAACAACAACAAAAGACACTGCAAAGAAGTGTTAAAGCAAATCTGTGTTTCATCTGCAGAACCTTCTCCCCAGCTCCCCCTCCCTGTGTTTATAAGGTTGCCCTCTTTAACCCCCTCTCTTTCTCTGCCTCGTTGGCCAGCCTGTGTGCAGTCATGGCGACCGCCAGTCTTTCTCTTGCTGTTTTCACTTTCTTTTCCTGTTTGCTAATATCTTCTTCAGTGACGAGAAATTGATTGCAAAGGATCTGTGGGATACCCGCTTCTGGAATCATCTCCACCAAATGTGAAGATGACTCACGGGTGGACCTACAGTCAACACTGTTGGCTTGAGTCTCTGAAACACATGCATCTGTGCCTCTAGGTCTAAGATCGCGCAAAGCTTTGGCAAGATCTGAAGTGCTCAAAGGTTCTCCTGCACTGCTGTAGGCTTGGAGTCCTTGCAGTCTCTTCTGCCAGCAGGCTTGTTGGGGCTTGACCAAGGTCTCCTCCCACTGGTGATATCTTACCTCATTGCCCAGATGGGATGTGATTCTAGTGACTGGCCTCTTGAATGTGTAACTGGACATCCTCAAGGGGATTGAGGCGTGTAAACAAGGCTTTGGCTTTGATAGGTTCTCCCAGTCACATTGCTTCCTCTGTGAAGTCTTGCCCATCTGACTCCTTTCTTCACCCTATAATCATAAGTCATAAAATTGGGTAAATTTAATGAAGGCTGCCTCCTTGTATTATCCACGTGATACTTACCAATTATGAATGCTGCTCTTAACTTTCACCTTCCCTCACTCCCTCTGGTAATAAGTTTTCAACATCATTGAACAGAGCTCAGTTGAGCACAAAAAGCTCAAAATCAAAATTATCCAAACACATGGCAAAACTCCCTCCTTGCTTGAGTGTATTTTTCTTCTTTCTGGATCTACTGCCAACTGCTTGAGACCTCACATTCTCTCTCATGATACACAGTCCCCAGTCTTCCTCTAAGTCTCAATTCTGCCATTTTTCTGTGTTATTTGATGATGAATTTGTTATGAACCACTTGATTTTTATAGCTCCTTTAACATTTAAATAAGAGCCCAAGATTGGGAAAGAATGCTATAGAACAGCATTTCCTGGGCACAACAGGGTCACTGCAATCAAGAACTTACAGACGCTGTAATTACTAGGCACAAAACCTGTACAAGTCAGGCCAGCCAACATTCCAACACAGCTATGGTAGAAGCTCAGAGCACTGATGGCTGCCGAGGGAGGAACAGTGAGTTTTCTTCAGGTATGTGGCCTCTGATGGGTTGCTCCAGTGGATGGCCCTATATCCATGCACATACTGGAAGAATTAAGAACTTTCAGTAGGTTGAAAAAGGACATGGAGTTGGAAGGGAGAAGTAATAAGGATATTTGGGTGAAGCTGGAGGTAAAATGGAACATGATATGATTGATACATTTCATGCATTATGAAACTTTCAAAGAATAAATATGTATTTTTTAAAAAATTAATAGCTAAACTACCAACATCACTACAAGACCTGAGACATTAATCAACACAAAAGGTCATATTCAAAATAAGCAATTTAGAAAACCTATTCACAGCAGAGCAGGAAAAAAAGAAAGAAGTACAGATGGATGGAAGGAAGGAAGAAAGGAAGGAAAGAAAGAAAGAAATGTATTCACCCATTAACAGATTTTGACTTCTTGGGCTTTGATAGATTTTATGTTACAGATAGTACATGGCACAGAACTATTTCTCAAGAACAAAGTTGACTCTGGAATACTTAGCTCCCTTATTTATTTACTAATTTTTATTAATGTACATTAACTTCACAAAGGGGCATCACTGTGGCATTGCCATATTCACAAATAATGTGCTTTGATCATCGCCGCCATTGCTATTGCTCTTTAGCATTTAGCAGCCTTTTCTTCCTTCTCCTCTCCCCACTTCCCTTCCACACTTCTCACGTTTCCCCTTTCATGTTACATTCTTTTTATTCAAAACACACCTCCTATGTTGAGGTGGCTCTGAAGGTAAGGGCCTTTGTTGCTGAACCTGATAACCTGAGCACCAGCTTCCATGAGCTGTCCTTTGACCCCCACATGCTTGTCATGGCAAATATATGCACACACTCCCCACACTCAAAAGAACACAAATATCAAAACTGCTTTAAATAGTTTCCACATTAGAGGAAACATGGTGTTTGTCTTTTATTTTGGATGTGTATGTGTAAAATGTGTGTGCTTACATCTTTGCATGTGGTTGTGCAAGGTCACGTGTGCCTGTGGAGGCCGGACGTTTATCTATTTATTTATTGAGGCAGGTTCTCTCTTTGAACCAATGAGAGACCAATTCTGGGTAGTCTAGCTAGCCAGCTTGACACTGAGATTCATTATTTCTGCCTCCTCAGTGATGGGATTACAGGTAGCCACCACATTTGCCTGTTTGGTATCTTTGTTTGTTTGGTTTGGTTTTTTTTTTCAATGTATTTTATCTTTGAAATTATATTACATCATTTCTCCCTTCCCTTTCCTCCCATCAGGCCCCCATATGTCCCTCCTTTCTCTCCTTTAATGAAAAAAAAATTTTTTCATTAAAATATACATATATTCCTAAATGTTGGCTGGGTTTTTATGTGGGTTCTGGGAATTCAAACTCCAATACTCATAATTGCACAGAAGAGCCATCTCCGCAGCCTGGTGTTTATCTTCCCAAGTCTGATTTATTTCACTTAAAATGATAAGTGGTCTCTATTTCTATCCACTGTCCTGCAATTGACACACTTTCATTCTATTTTATGACTGAATAACAGTCTGTTGTGTAGGGGCTGACTAGAGAGTTCAGTTGGCATAGCGCCTGCCTAGCATGCACAAGACCATAGGTTTGCTCTCCATAAAACTAAGTGTGCTGATGCAGACTGGTAATGATAGCACCTGGGATATGGAGAAAGGAAAATAAAAACTTTAAGGGCATCCTAAGCTACACAGTGAGTTTGACACCAGCCTGGGCTATATGAAACCCTGTCTCAAAAATAAAGATTTCAGTTGTCTATATATGCCACATTTTCTTTGTCCATTCATATGATTATGGGCATCTGGGCAGATTCTACAATTTGACTTCTGTGGAAATTGTTCTTTTAGATTCACATACAAAGTCCAAACGTTTACAGGAAAGTATGTTCCTGTGGTACATATATACACTGTGTTAGGTTTATGTCAAGCATTTTAACCATCTCAGTATTTACCATTTCTATCTTGGGAAGCTTCAGATTTCTCTTTCCTAAGTTCTTTATAATATGTATGAAATATTGTGAATTATAGTCACAATATTAATATAGAATATAATAGAATTATATTCCGTTATAGAATATAAGAACTGATTCTTCCAGTGTAACATTGGTACTCATTATCCAAGCTCCTTCTTCCTGATCCCACGTCAATACTCAATTTTACAGTCTGTGATATCAATAATTCCATTGGTATTACTGAAAAATTCTTTTCCTTTTATCTTACCTACCTTGTAAAACTTCAACTTAGGAAGAATATTATCATTACCATGCCATAGCTATTGCTGGTCTTATGATTCCTGCTGAAAAAAACACACAACATACTGCACACAACATTTTGGTGCAACTCTAAATACAAAAATTTGACATTAACACGGTAAAAGGTGTGAGTTCTATCAAGTCACTGAATTTACCTTAAGCCTGTTTGATACGTTCTGAATTTTTACTTTTTGTCATTTCCGCTAATTCCTCTTTCTGCTGCTGTGATAAAATACTGTAAAAGCAATGGATAGGAAAGAGCTTCTGAGGCTCACAGTTCCTATTATAGCCCATCACTGCCAGGAAGTCAAGGCAGATATTTACATCCGCAGTCAAGAGCAGAGGACTCGAGCCCTCACCCTCCTACACACTCAAGTTCCCTTACAAGTTCCCCAGTACTGCATGGGGAAACTGACTAAGCTGAAGCCTTGGGGGTCTAGTTGACAAACTTACACATATCTTAGGCTGTTTGTACACTTCTTCCAATCATGCTGATATTTCCTTTATTTTCCAGTCTGAGATTTCCCCCAGCTTCCTGTTTTGTAATCTCATGCCCACAATATGCCAAAAAGTCCCTCCATCTTCAATTCTTTTTTCTAGGGAATTCTTCCTTTGGGATTTAATCATGTTTCCATTTCTCTGAACTACGTAGAAATCCTTTGTCTAATCTTTTCTGTCCTTTCCTCTTAGCACAAACTGCTCAAGAAAGGACATCTATATTATGTTTTTTTTTTTTTTTCCGAAGCATCTTACCTCCAACCAGCTCCTCAGACTGCTCGGAACCTTCATGTGTTGTCATCATTCTATGACTCTTTCCCTTGAAAAAGTCACAATGACCCTTTGTTATTAGAGCCCAAAGAAAAATTTCACATACTCTTTAAGTGGGAAGCATTTTTTGAGACACATTTGTTGCAAGGAGTTGCTTGTTCATCCCAACCGCCTTGCTAGCTTAGCCCCAAAATAACCACACAGAAACTGTATTAATTAAATCACTGCTTAGCCCATTAGCTCTAGTTTCTTATTGGCTAATTCTTACATCTTAATATGTGCCATTTCTATTAATCTGTGTATCGCCATGTGGCAATGGATTACCGGGTAAAATTTCCAGCATCTGTCTCCAGCAGATCCATGGCGTCTCTCTGACCCTGCCCTTCTTTTTCCTAGCATTCAGTTCTGTCTTCCCTGTCTACCTAAATTCTACCCTATCAACCATCCCAAAGCAGTTTCTTTATTAACCAATGAAAGCAACACAAAGACAGAATGACTTCTTACACCACATGTTATGGCTCTACATAATCCTTGTTAGTCTTCAACTTGCTATACAGAGGCTGGCCTCAAACTCAGAATTATCCTGTCTCATCCTTAACCTCTCAAATGAATTATCATACCTAGCATAATTAGAATTAATATGAATAAAGAGAGTGTACATCTGATACAATTTACCCCATACATTGGCATGTGCTATTAACAGAAAATATGAGCTTAATTTCTAGAATATATTTTTAAATGTAAATAACTATAGAAACAATAATGGCTATATATAAAAAACTTTATTGGTTTTTATATTTTCAGCATAAACAAATGATGTCTTTGAGATTAGTTTATTTACCCTGATTTCAATATTTTACAATGCACACACATACCAAGACATCACAGGGTTACATGGTACCTGCTATGGCTTGAATCTGAACTGTCCACAACAGACTTATATTTCGAATTCTCAGTCCCTAGTTTATAACTGTATTTTGAAGGTATAGAGACTTTCGCAGGAGGTTTCTTACTAGCAGAAGAAAATCGTTAGGAGCAGACAATATGAATGTTATAACTACCTCTGATTCCAGATCAGCTGTCTCTGCTTCCTAGTCTGCCCATATGTGTAAACTGCTGTCTCCCAATCCCAAAGCCAGAGTCCTATCAGGATAAATGGTAATGTTCTGAACCTGTGTTGCAGTAAGGTGCTTTAAACACTTTGGCTCATTTTGCAGGGAGGTGAATGCCACCCAGCTCCCAAATGAGTCGCATGGAAACTTATTCTTAGGTGGAAATGCTCAGCCTTAGCTTGGCTTGTTGCTTGCCAGTTTTTACTTAAATGTTGTTTTGTCTACCTTTTGCCTATGGGTTTTTCCCATTCTCTTACTTCCGTAAATCTTACTCTTGCTCCATGGATTGCTGTGTAGCTGGATGGCTAGCCCCTGATGTCCTCCTTCTTCTCTGGCTACTTCTCCCTTTGTTCCCAGATTTTCTCTACATGTTCTCTCTGCCTGACAGCCCCACCTATCCTTTCTCCTTCCTCGCTATTGACCATTCAGATCTTTATGAGACCATCAGGTGTTCTAGACAGGCACAGCACAGCTTCACAGACTTAAAATAAATGTGACATAAACAAAAATACTACCTTAACATAATATTTCCTAACAAACTGTAGCTAAGTAAACTTTCCCTGCCTTAAACCATCTCTATATTTTAATCCCAGTGATACAAAATTAATAAATTATTTTATAAATATGCAAAATTTGTTGTTATATTAGCTAAAACAAATTTAACTTACATAAAATAGTATTAATTTTGGACCATAGAATATAATAACTTTTATGTCTACATAATGCTTCAGGTTGTTGATAAATTTTATCATTCTAATTGTCTTTTTAAATTTTTGAGAAATAATTAAATATATTTGTGAAGTACAATGTGATGGCTTGATGTATTTTCTGTCATGAAATTCTAGTCCTTGTTTTGATTCCTACAGTTTATATGGTCCCCCAGTTTTGACAGTAATTCTCCCTCTGGTAACAAAATGGACACAGAGTGCAGAAACAAGGGCAAAATCTGGGGTTTTCTAAGAGAAAGAAAATAATTGGGCAATATAACTGGGGGCTGGTGTGAGACAGAACACAGATGAGAGAAATAAATGAGAAGGGAAAAAGGAGAGGCAAAGAGAGAGCAGAAAGTCACTGAGAAATAAGTAACAGAAAGAAGAAATGAAGATAGAATTGTAAATGGAATGGGAGGAAAGAAAATGGAGAGAGGAACAAGGAGAGTAGGAAGAGGAGGAGGAAGTGGAGGAAGAGAAAGGACATTCATGAACAGAGAAAGAAAACAGTGCAATCTCAGAGCAGCTACAGATTAAATGTTTTTGCTTTAAAAATATCGTAAGACCTACAAAACATAGAATGTACTCTCTGATTCATCCTTCAGTGTCTAGCCCAGTGGTATTACTCTCTTCATATTGCTGTGTAACCATCACCACCATTCATCTCAAGAACTGTCATTTTGGAAACAGGAAACTCTTTTCCTACTGCACACTAACTCTTCATCCCTCTTCCCAGGCTAGGGCATCCACCCTCCTATTCTCTACTACTATATATTTGGCTGTATTAGTAAGGGCTGTATGATGTAGAAACAGATAACATTTAGCCTTTATCACTGGCATACCTTCCTCAACAAAATGTTTCATTCATGTTGTACTGTATGTCAGAATTCCTTTGCTTTTTACGACTGATTCCTATTCCAGCCAAGCATAATTTTATGCTGTCCAGGGTGAAACTGCTGGCAACTTGTGGCCCTCGCTGGCCCCTGCACAGGCCTCCATCGAAAGCTGCCGATCACGTGCAGGATATTCTCCTAGCGCACAGATGATTGCAGTACACATGGAAGGAAGAACAGAACTCCATCTGTGTCTGGAAACGGAAGTTCACATCCTGGCTCCAGTCAGCCCTGCTGCCTACACTCAGCATTGTGGTTCTTGTTTTCATTCCTGGGAATAGAATAAATTCAAGATAAATCCATTTGAGCCAAGAGAACACAGAATGTGAAATGTCTATATGTAACAAGGTTGAGGTAACAATCCCCCCAACACAGTCTAGGATTAGTCTGTCTTGCATAAAAACTCTGTTTTATCAAATTAGCATATATTGGGCCTGAAAGATAGCTCAGTGGGTACCGGCTCTTGTTTCCAAACCTCACTACATAAGTTCTATCCCTGGGACCCGTGTGGTGTAAGGAGAGGACTGAAACCCACAGAATGTCCTCTGACCTCTGCACGCAGACACACACAATAAATACAGTGTACTTTTAAATTAACATGTTAACTGTACAAAGGAATGGGTTTATGGCATCGCCTACTATATTTCCCCCTAGATTCCATGTGTGACAGAAAACATATAATATTTTTCTTTATGAGACTGGTTTATTTCACCTAATATGATTATTTAGTAAAATGATCCCTCCTTGTCCATTATTTTCTGCAAATGACATATTCTTTACGGCTCTACAGAATCCCACTGTATATATTTCCACATTTTATCCATTCCTCTGTACACAGGCTGGTACACGACAGCTATTGTGAAGGATGAAGTAACAGGCATGCGTACGCCAATATGTCTATAGCAAGTTGATAACATTTTTGTCAAGTTGACACAAGCTAGAGTTATCTGTGAAGATCAAATCCAGCTGAGAAAATGCCTCCATTAGATTGGCCGGGAGACAAGTCTGTGGGGGAGCTTTAACATTTATGATTGACATGGGAGAGTCCACACCATTGTGGGCAGTGCGACGCTGGGCAGAAAATCTTAGGTTGTGTGGCAGTGTGGGCTGAGCAATGCTGTGGGAGCGCCTTCCACTCCTTCAGCCAATAGCCACTGAAACATCAGCCCACTGGGGCCAAGGTAAGACGGTTTTGAAAAATCTCTTGCTTGTTAAAATCTGGAAGTGGATAAGCAGAACTGTCAAATCTTACCAAGACAGGGTAAGACAGCTTTGAAAAATCTCTTGCCTGTTAAAAATAATCTGTCAGTTATTCTAGGCCTTAGTCAAAGTTGGTTGCTTTAACGCTGCAAACATGACTTTGGTGATTGCCCAGGTAGCCAGTTGTATCTGTGATTTGTTGTATGTTTTGGAAGTTGTTTGATTGCACTTCCTAATTACTCAGGTAACATTATTTCCCTTCTTGGATCTTCTATGTGGTTGAAGACTAGATAATTGTAGCTACTTTGCTCTCATGACTTGGCCAAGTTATTTATTATTTGAGACTTAGGCTAGTTAAGATAGGATATTTGTTCTTGTATACAATTTTGTAGTAGGTTTAGAACTCTCTTACTTAAACAAAAGGGGGAGGTGCTGCGGAAGCACCTTCCGCTCCTTCAGCCAATAGCCGCTGAAGAGCCCACTGTGTGTGTGGGGGGGGGAATACCAGCCCACTGGGGCGTGGTCTGTTTCTCTTTAAAAAAAAAAAAAGAGCTGCAAGCCTCAGTTCGCTCTCTTGGTTCCAGTGCTTGGTTCTGGCTCCTGCTCCAGCAACTAGGCTCCTTTCCTGATGGTTGGTGTTTTGTCAGTTTTACCCCCCAAAATAAATACCCCTTTAAATCCTAACTAGTGTGGGATTGTTTCACGCATTAGAACAAGCTAAGCAGTGTTCCTCCACACCTCTTGTTTCAATGGCTGCCCAGACTTCTCTCAGTGATGGACTGACGTCAGGATGTGTAAGCTAAATAAATCCTTTCCTACTCGAGTGACTTTTTGTTCAGAATATTTTATCACAGCAGTGGAAAGCAAACTAGAATACTGTCTGGCTCTTTGTAGTGCATACCCAGTAGTATAAAAGGAGCTTTCATCATGCTCAGTTAGGATGCCTTTCATCAGGAAAAGAAAATAATACATGTTGTTAAAGATACAGAGTGAATAAAATCTTCTACACTGTTTCGGAGAATGTAAAATCCGCTATGGGAATCAGTAAGGAAGTTCTTCAAACCATCAGGACTACAACAATCACTTGTTCTAAATATAATAACCCTACTCCTTCATCCCAGAAAGCCCCAGCAAATAGGGTCATCCCTACCCAGTGTTCATGCTAAAAGCTTTCTGCTCATGCCTGCAATTATTTTACCACAATTCATTATATAGATATATGTAAAATTATCAAAAACTTAGAATAAATAAATAATGTTAGCCTTCAAGAAGCAAGTTGCAGAGAAATATGTACAATGCAATTCTAGTAGGCTGTCTAATCATGGAGAACATTCTGAAGAAAGGTTACCAGTAAATGATCTGCTACCACTTGTGAGAATGGAGCCTAAAAATGAGGCAGACTAAAGTCTCATGCAATAGCCAGCTTTATTCAGGACATCATCTGAGCAAACTTCGTATGAATTCAAGCTTTATACAGTCACAAGGGCAAAGCATGTTCACATGTGTTTAGTCTGTATACCAGTGGTTCTCAAGCTTCCTAATGCTGTGATCTTTTAATACAGTTCCTCATATTGTGGTGACCGCCCCAACCATAAAATTATTTTCTTTGCTACTTTATGTAATTTTGTTACTGTTATGACTCATACTGTAAATATCTGTGTTTTCCGATGGTTTTAGGCGACCCATGTGAAAGGGTCCTTCAATCCCCCCCACCACACACACACACACACACACACACACACACACACACACACACACACGAGGTGGTGACCCACAGGTTGAGAATAGCTGATGTAGACAGTCATGAGGACAATCTGAGCTTGGAAACATCGTCTGAATAGTAAAATAATCTGAAGTAAACCCACTCCTGTATACTACGTCTGGGAGGGGCACGAATGTACATTCTGAGAACAATTTTGTGCTTGGACGGCTGAGTTCCAAGAGTCTTGTCCTGTTCTCTTTTCTCACAAGCAACCAGAATTCCTCTTACACAGCTTCATTCAGGGTTCGTGTTCTGACATGATCCAAGGAGGGTCACCTGCAGATCACCCCTGGGGATGATTTCTTACCCTACCTAGAACCACAGGACTCACCCCCCTGCATTACCTATGCCCACCCATATTCCCATCCCTGCAACTAGCCTCTCCGACTCCTAGGGACAGTAGCAATCCTACCTCACACCCCATACCACCATTACCCACCCACAATTAACTCAGTTCACTCCTGGCTTTATCCGCCCAGCATCCTGCCCCCGGAATTAATCCGCACGGTAGCCACGCCCTCCGAACTATTTCCCGGTAATCATCTAACGGGCTTGCAAGCTTGGCTGCTCCCACCGCCTTGGTTCCTCCGACCGCCCCGCTGCCGGGGCCTCCCGTGGTCTCATCGGATCACCTATCCCAAAGTCTAACTGGGTGCATAGTTATTAAGCAAACTGGGAAGGCTTTCCCACCCCAAAACCCCCGACGAACTTTTGGGCGGAAATGGGCAGAAAGGCGCCCACGCCGGGCGGAAGTGCGGAGCTGCGGGAGCTGGTGCGGGTGTAGCTGTGGGCTGGCTGCTGGGCGGAGCGGTGTGGGGTGTGCAGGGCCGGCTTTGATCGGGTGTAGGAGCGCTGCAAGGCGGCTTTCTCCGCCCGGAGGCCTCAGGCTCTTACCGCTGCCCAAACACCAAACCCGAGCTCTTCCACGGCTCAGCGCTGGAGACGCTTTTTGTTCTCACAGAGTGAGGCGAGCGGCCGGAGGCCCGGGACGCTGTTCTGTGAGCAGCAAGCAGAACAAATTAGCAGTAGTGCCAGGGTGGGAATTCTTCAGCTCCGTCACTTTTAGGCCTTCTAAGCTACAAGGCATGTTTACCGTCCATGGAGTCACCGGAAGATCGCTCTCCTGTCAAATAAGTTGTGCCATTAAACAGAGAAATCATTTCATCTTCTGCCTGCCCTTTTGAGCTTGTGCCTGCATTAGAGATCAGGTAATTCCATTTCCCCAGCCATAGGCTGGCTCTTTATTACATGTTAAATCTGTAAATATACGTGGAGGGCGGGTGATGGAGGCTTTTTTTTTTCTGTCACAACTTTAGTACTAGCTGTAAATGGGCTCAGAATCGATTTTTATACCTTTTTTTAGACAATAATAAATAAATAAAACCCATCATTCTCAAACACAGACTTGTGTTGAAACCTCAGTGTGGTGTTGAAAACTCCTCAGTGAACACCTGCCCTCATTAGTCTAGAAATTTCGTGTCAGTAGGTGAACAGGATGCGGAACTTGAAGCAATAGAGTTCCCGCCGACCCTGCAGTATGGAACTTCTACAGGGTTTTTCTTTTGCTTGTAACAGGTTGTGACTCTAGGGATGCAACCACTTAAGAATGAGGGTTATCTCAAGACGCTGTATTAATGTTTAATGTTATATTTAAGGGATGGATGCTAGGGTGTGTGATAAGTAATGTAGTTGAATGCAGATTAACACAAACATAACTAACGATGAATATGAGTAAGCTCATAAATGCAGAATTTTCTTGTGTACCTCAGCACCACAATTTTCAGGGTTTTATATTAAGTACAAATTGATGAGCTTATTTCTATGTATTTTAGCACCTACAAGCCTTCCCAGTAAATGCTAGAGCTTTTAGTATTTTTAGTATTCTTCACGCTGGTTCCACTTGACTTCTAAAATCCGCTGCATCTTCATGAGGGTTCAGAATAAAGAGGCATGTAGGAAGAGGAAGTTTTGCGTTTCCTTATGTTGGTAACAGAAATCTAAAACTGAATAGACTAGCTACTAATGCTGACAAGATTGAAAGCATTTGGAAGAGTATTAAAGAACAAATTTCAGACTAAAGAGTAAGATACAGGACTGTCCTCCCTACCTTGCCTCCAGATAGGACTTTAACATTTCTGAAACAGCAGTATGATCTTTTATAATATGGAAGATATTTATTAGCTATATGTGTTTGATTTCTTTTATCCAATGCTGGAAATCAAACATTTGTCTTGGACAGGTTAGGCAAGTGCTCTGCAGCTGAGCCGCATCCCTGCACCTGCCTTTATTTTAAGCATTCCTGAAATCATATTAAGGGAATATTTGGTTATCATGTAATTGATATTCATTATTACACAGGTTAGGATGATGAAGACCCTTGTGTTATTCAAGGCGGAGGAGTTTTCTAGGGCAGAGGACATTTGGGAGTCAGAGCCGTCTAGGCAATCTAGGACAGGGGGTCACTTCCATGAGCTGGGCCTTGACCTGGTGCATGAGGCCCAAAACAGACTTTGTCCTGTCTCCATGGAATGTACATTCTAACAGAAAAAAAAAAAACACAGCAAAGCTGAGAATATTGAAGACTGCATCTAAGGAGACGGCAGAGCCGTTTGGAAAGGAAAAGTAATTGAGTTGTAAGCTAATAGTGCCTGGGATCCCGATTACTATAAACAGTGGCTTCAGGTGATGCAGAAACATCATTCTCCTGCTGTTCTGGAGCTGAGGATTTCCAAATGCCTCAGGCAGCTTTCCTGCAAGTTTTTAAAAACCTCTTTTCATGTTTCAGCCCCTGAGTCAAGAGCATAGGGAACCCCACTGAGGACTGGCAACTGACATCTAAAATTGAGCCGGCGGTCTGTGAATATTCAAGTCTGAGAGTATATTCAAGCAGGTTGTGCCAGAACTGGACTGAATCAGTAGGCTTCCGGCTGGTGAAGACTTCGGAATTGCTGTGTTGCTTTAAATGGGGAGAATTCTTATTGATGATGATGTGAAAGCAGAAAGAAAACAGAATTTTCCCCCCCTCAACAAACAAGAATAAAGCAGAATAAAGGTCCAGTGTGGGAGGCAGAATGTGCATTTTGAAGAAGGCCAAGATGGACAAGCTAGGAAAGACTCGTCCTCAAACCCCCTGGAAGAGACAGTGGCTGTGGAGCCTTCCTAACTTCTGTTGATTCTACCATGCTGCCTTTGGTGTCTGTGGGAGTCAGAAATATATCTGGCCCATTTATTGCATCCTGTTCGGAAGCTCTGGTGTTGGAGTCAGGATGGCAGCGACTGTCATTCCTCTGATATATGGTAAGTCACTAGGTCCTAGCAGCCCTTCCAGGAAGATTCATAGTCCCCCAAGCCCACAGTTCAGAAAGTGGTGGAGGCTGGGAAGCCCTTGAGGAAACTCAGGCCTAACAGGAAAGGCAAGAGTGAAGCCCAGTGGTCCAGGGATGTCATAGCTGTTGGATACGATGTAGCTGCTGGGTTTTGGATCTGTCAACTTCATGACGATTATATGGTCTCTTTTGAATTTTGCCTTTAATTGTTTCTGGAATAAATGTTCTCTTCCTCATAAGCAGTCAGACCAAGGTGCCCTCTATCTGAGCTAAGTAGAGACAAGGTTATGCCATGCTTATGAAAACTGGGACTAAGTATTTGTGCAGGGAGGGATAAAAGAATGTGCTATGTGTGTGCATGTGAATAGGCATGCCATAGGTGTGGATAGTGGTATATTCTCAGTCTCTGGTGGATAAGTAAACCTCAGATTATCCCAGGATGTCCTAGATTCTCATAATTTATTCCTTCTCCCCCAGTTCAGTCTTCTCTGTACCCACTGTCCACTGAGAAAGGACACACAGGGAAAGAAGGGCAGGCCAGTGAATTCTTGACAAACTTGATAGAGGTGAGTCAGATCTTCATTTTTGACAAGTCATTCCTTGCATAAAACTTATTACTATAAAGACTTATACACTCCAACCAGCATCCCCAAGCATCTGGCAAGAGCTAGGAGATGTCACAGAAAATGTCTCTGGTATCAATATTCGTTGCATTCTCAAAGCTCCTTCCAGAGTCTCTAAGGACGCCATATGCTTCCTAAGAGTTTGTGGGGAGTCAGCTAAAAGTTTGACTCTGTCTTTCTTTCAGGCAGTTTATCACAGGGTGGGGTAATTACTCATTTATGTAACATTTGTTTCTCCCCTTTGTGGATTGTCCCAGGCCTGTGCTCAGTCCTAGGAAATGAGATTATAGGAGTCTGAGAAGTCTGAGAAGAAAGAGAAAGGAACTTTGGGAGGTGGGCAGTAGACAGGAGAAGAGCCAGGGCACCAACCTCAGAAACCAAGGCAGATGGAATTCAGCTTGCCTACACACCTGTGCTCTGGGTTCATCTGTGGGGCTGGCACCCTGGGCTCTCTTCTCCTTGTCTTTGATGGGGTGCTTGCCTAAGCTGTAATGTGTGAATGATTTAGGAGTTGGTGTCATTCGAAGATGTGACTGTGCAGTTCACAGAGGAGGAGTGGGCTTTGCTGGACCCTTTACAAAGAACTCTGTACCGGAGGGTAACGCTGGAAAACTGGAAGAACCTGGCCTCACTTGGTAAGCCCCCACCAGCCTTGTGCTGCCTTGATTTTAATCACTCGGGCAAGTTTTCAGTCCAGGTTGTTTATTGGTATAAAACAAATAGTGTTTGAATCATTTTGAAACACACAGTTGAGCGGCTTTTAGTTTATTTATCATGTTGTACAGCAGTGTAATTTCAGAACATTTCATTACTTCTGCTGGGTTTTAGGTTAGCCTCCCAAGGTTTACATGCTAGAAATCTAGTCCTCTGTGAAAGGCAATGTTAAAGTAGCGGGAACATCTGATAGTGGGGCACACTGGAAGGTGTCAAGATCAAGAGACCACCCTCAGAATGGATGCATGCTGTTTCTTGGGAGTCAGCCAGGTCTTGTGAGCCAAGTTAATTTTCTTTTAAGAAAATTAATGGGTTGTTGCAGAGGGAGGCAACCCACTTGCTTAGGTCTTCTTCATAGAGCTGATTCCCTTTCTACTTCTTCACCATATTAACCTTTTTTAAATAGCAAAAGAGCACCAATTTTATTGTTTTTAATTATGTGTATATGAGTGTCAGTGATCATGGGGGCCGGAGGTGTCACATCATTCTGGAGCTAGATTTATAGGCAGTTGCAAACTGCTAGGTATAAGTGCTGCAGTTTGAACCCGAATCCTCTGTAAGAGCAGTATATACTTCTAAGTCTCTCTAACCCTTCCCAATGCCAGCGTCTTTCTCCAAATGCAAGTGTCATGCTGTTTGGACTTTCTGGATACCAAGATCTTGAGCCAAAATAGGCTTCTTTTCCTTAAAATGTACTTAGTCACAATATTTTGTTACAACATAAGAAAAGAGACTAAGACAACTCTGTGAGGTGTTGAGTATGTGTGTTCTTTGGAAGTTTCATACATGTATTTAATGTATATTGATAACATCCATCACTACCTCCTTCCACCTTCTCTAAAGTCTCCCACTCCCTTTCAACTTTATGTCCCCTTTTTGTTTTTGTCTGTTTGTTTGTTTTGTTATCAATAACCCCCTGAGTAATTAGTGTTGCCTGGGTATTTGGCCATCCACTCCAGCATGAGCAAGCTAATTACCATCAGCTTATCCAGTAGACCTGGGTAGGGCCTTGGGGACCTTCCTCTGGCTATGCTTGATCTTACATAGGTAAACACATCTGTTATGAGTTGATACGTGCAGTGGCCATGTCATATCCAGAAATCAGCATGTCACCATCACCCCCTCAATCTCACAGTTCCCTACATTATTCCTGGCCCTCATCTACTTAAGTTCAGTGAGCCTTGGATGGTGGGGACTGGGTGTAGATGACTGCTGTGGGACAGTGATCTTGTACCCTGTCACTTGTATTATTTTAATAAAATGCTGATTGGCCATTAGCCAGGCAGGAAGTACAGGCGGGGCAACCAGGCAGGAAGTAGAGGTGGGGTGGTGAGAACAGAAGAATTCTGGGAAGAGGAAACAGTCTGCAGTCCTCTCCCAGACACAAAAGAAGCAAGATGAGATGCCTCGCTAATAAAAGGTACCAAGCCACGTGGCTAACACAGACAAGAATTATGGGCTAATATAGGATGTAAGACTTAAGAAGCCTGAGCTAATAGGCCAACCAGTTAATAATTAATGAAGACCTCTGTGTGTTTTTTTGGGGGACTGGGCAGGACAGAAACCTCTGTCAACAAAATGGTGCCAATGTGAACAACTACATCCACATAAAACCTGAGAGAGCTTGGGAAGTAATTCTAAACACAAAGCAGAGTTCAGCATAGCTTCTTGGTAGCAGCATTTTCTCATATGGGCTCTATTTGCTAGAGACAAGCACGTCTCATTTAAGAGAGGCTTCCTGACTCAGCTTTAGCTGCAAAAACCTTGCAGCTCTTTTAAGAGGCCCCACCACCAAACACTTAAATGGTATTGATGAATAGCCGATAGCATGCTTCTTGGTGGTTGCGGGGACCTTGAAACTCCATATAGTTGTGACAATAAACATGGTCTGGCCAGTACTTCCATAATGAACCTCAGATGGTTGGGAGTAGGTATAAATGAGCCATCCCGAGCCTTGGATGCTGGGGAGTGGGTATAGATGACCCATCTTGAGCCTTGGATGGTGAGGCATGGGTATTGATGACCCATCCCTTGGCACTTTAATCAATTGTGTTTCTCTGCGTTAACTATGCCCAAGGCAGAAAAAAGCTTCTCTGAACAAAGTCAAGAGAAGAACAGATCTATGAATATAAACAAATATTTAGAGTGCAATTTGACATTATAACCATTTAGCAAAACACAAGTATGTTCCTTCCTAGGATCTGTGATTTCTCCAGTCATGGGCTTTTGACCAGGTTTACAGTACCAGGCATGAAATCTCTCCCATGAAGCAGTCCTAATATCCAGTCAGAAAGCAGTTAACTGCATAACCATCGTGCCAATCACTGTTGTAGAAATGGGCACTTTTTTGCCAGCCAGTCAGTATTACAGCATGCAGGGTCTAGCACTGGGTAAGATCATTGATGTCTCTTCTCCAACAGCAACCTGCATAGCACCTTCTGGCACTGTACAACCTAGTCATCAGTACAACCTGATCATCTTAAGGTTGATTTTTTTTTACATTGTGCATTCAAAGTTGGTGGTGTCTTCAGCAGGAGGGTCTTATTGTCTAGTTATAATGGGCAAGTAAACAGTGGCCATAGCCTCTGAGGCCTCCTGACCAATAACTTGTATGGAGGTGTTTCATGCCTGGCACTAAGATTTCCACCACAACATACTTCTGTTTAAACTCTATTTTATATATATAAGCTTGCAAACCAGTGGTTTCCCAAAAGGCTTGTCTTAGTTACTATTCTATCACTATGAAGAGACATTGTGACCAAGGCCACTTATAAAAGAAAACATTTAATTGGGAGTTTGCTTGCAGTTTCAGAGAGTTACTCTATGACCATCATGGAGGATAACACAGTGGCAGGTAAGCAGGCAAGCAGGCATGGCCCTGGTAGTCGCTTGGATCATATCTGGAGCTCTGCCATCTGCAGCACGCAGAGCTTGTCCTAGCTCCACTCCACAACTTCTGGTGAACTTAGTCATCTGCCATTGTACCGGCATCTCCAACATAATGCTCTCGTCTCTGTTGCAGCTGGGCTGCAGCTTCAACTGATAGCATCCTTGGCTCTCACCTTCCCTCTGGGACCCCTCCAGACATGGATTTTCTCCAGGGGTCTCTCCCAACCTCTCTTTAGGGACTCCATCCCTGCCACATGGTGCCAAGCCTTAACTGTCCTTCCTCATTCTTTCATGCCTTCAAAAGTCTATCACTTGGGAGATTCTTAACAGTACTCAGTTTAGCTGTTAGCATGAGGTACAGTCTTGAACTCAGGACTAAAGGTCCTGTATGGTGACCCTGAAGGAACACTTCCCAAAAGATTGCTATTGTCTTCTTAAGCACAGCTGATCCTTCAGTCCCGTCTGATCAGCATCTATGATGCCCACAAAGCAAAGGTTTTACTGCATAGGTGTTGATCTCTTGTTAATCACAATAGATTCTGCGATAGCTGACCAGACCCCACAGATGCTTCACCCCCAGTTATTCTTACTTTTTTCTTTTCCTGTTTTTTCTTTTCTTTTCTTTCTTTCTTTCTTTTTTTCTTTCTTTCTCTCTTTCTTTTGCCTATAATTTTGATATCATATTTTGGAAACCATTACTAAATGAATCTTTTTTAAAAACTTGGGCAGTAGTAGTGCATTCCTTTAATCCCAATACTGAGGAGGCAGAGGCAGGTGAATCTCTTTATTCTAGGCCAGCCTGGTCTACAGAGCAAGTTCCAGGATAGCCATGGCTACATAGAGAAACAAACAAACAAGAACAACAGCAAAACTTCTGTGCTTTCTTCCATTAATTTTTAGGTTCTAATTCCTACATTAGGTATTTGATCGTTTTGAGTTAGTTTGGCAGATGATGCAGAGGAAGTTAAACTTCAGTCTTTTATATGTGCTTATGTTTACAGTTACCTAGTGCCTTTTTAGAAGGCATTTATTGTAAAATTATTTTGGATGCTGTATCAAAAATTGATTGATTTACTTTGCATGTATGTGTACTTAAATGCTTTTAATTCTATTCCAGTGGTCCATGTTTCCAAATTACACAACATTGTTTTGATACCTTTCTTTGTAGAGAATATGAGCTATTGTATTTTTGTAATCTATGTACATGTAGGGTACATGTGTTTGCACGTATTTATGATATATGTGCACCAATGTGGATGGGTACACTGAGGCTAACATTGGATGTCTTCCTTGATTGAAGCATGGTCTCTTAACCTGCAGCTGGCTGTTTTGGCTAATTCTGTGAGCTCACAATTCTGTGAGCTTGGAATTCCCTATCTGCCATTCCATGTCCTAGGATTACAGACAGGTAGCCGGCTAGCTTTACATGTGTTCTGGTGATCCAGAACACTCACATTGCTGAAGTTAGTACTTTGCCCACTAAACAATTCCCTACAAACTCCTTTGACCCCTTTGTTCTTTTTCTTTTTTTATTTCTTTATAAATAATATCAATCAAAATTTCCACTTCCTCCCCTCCTTCCTCTTCCCTCCCACTCCCTCCACACACCTTCCCACCTCCCCCTCCAGCCCTGAGAGAGGGCGCCCTCCCCCCTACATTCAGGCTTAGGAAGGTATGCATCCAAAGAGAATAGGATCCCCAAACGCCACGTGCAGTAGAGACAAATCCCAGTGCCATTATCATTGGCTTCTCAGTCTGCCCCAATTGTCAGCCACATTCAGAGGGTCCAGTTTGATCCCATGCTCGTTCAGTTCCAGTCCAGCTGGCTTTGGTGAGCTCCCATTAGATCAGGCACACTGTCTCAGTGGGTGGACCAACCCATCGTGGTCCTGACTTTCTTGCTCATTTTCTCCCTCCTTCCACTTTTCAACTGGACCATGGGAGCTCAGTCCAGTGCTCTGATGTGGGTCTCTCGCTCTATCTCCATCCGTCGCTGACGAAGGTTCTATGGTGATATTCAAGATAGTCATCAGTCTGACTATGGGACAAGGCCAGTTCAGGTGTCCTCTCCACTGCCCAGGGTCCTAGCTGGGATCATTCCCCTGGGAGCATGAGGACCTTGGGGGAAGGTTGGAGCGGGGAGGGGAGAGACAGGGAGGGGAGCAGAGAAAAATGTACAGCTCAATAAAAATCAATAAAATAAAAGAGCTAGCCAATAAGAAAAGAGAGACTCAGTGCCCATTTCCCTTTTCTAAATGGGAGATGTATATTACCACTATCATCCTGTTGTAGAAGGAGTGGGCTGTGACCCACCTCCCAGCTAGCTTAACCCCCGAAATAACCATACAGAAATTGTATTAATTAAATTACTGCCTGGCCCTTAGCTCTAGTCTCTTATTGGATAACTCTCACATCTTGATTAACCCATTTCTATTAAATCTGTGCATCACCACGTGACTGTGGCTAACCGGCAAGATTCTAACCTATGTCCATCTCAGGCCAGAGATTCATGGCGTCTGCCACTCTGCCCTTCTTCCCAGAATTCTATTCTGTCTTCCCCGCCTGTCTGAGATCCGCCCTTATCAACTAGGCCAAGGCAGTTTCTTTAATAACCAATGAAAGCAACACAAATACAGAAAAACCTCCTACACCATCCTCCTAAGACTTAATGTCCCAAAAGAGTTGGTGGGAAGCACCTAAAATATGGAGGATAGAGGAGATTGATGTGAAATATGGCTTCCTGGATGATGTGGCTGGCACACTTGGGAACTCACAGCAGATGTTGTTATTTGAACAAAACATGCATGAGATCAAGCCAGCCAAATTCCTTTATAGTTGGGATAGATGATATCTAGGTCCTACCCCTTACTGGGGAGCTGATGGCATATGAGGGAAATTGAGAGACATGAAGTTGAGAGAGGGACCTATTGAGGAGGATATAAATGTGATCATGTCTCGTATTTACATATGCAGTTATCAATAATAAAAGTTTAAAAACTAAGTTTGGATTTTAGTGCATTTTGTATTTGCATTAGGTTACTCAATCTGTGCTGCAATTATGGAGTCTGATTTTTCTCCATCTATGGCATTATCATGCCATTGTATATAGCATTACTGATGTTTCAAAACTTATTTTCCAGTATCTGTATCTATCAGGTGTAAACACAGGTAATTTGTCACATATTTCTTTGAAGTCCTAGAACCAAAAACTTAAATTTCTTAATTTCTTCAAATGAACTTTGTGTTTACATGAGGGCATAAAAAACCTGAAACTATAACTAAAACTAAGCGAGGTGGTTTCTAATACTGCCTTGCTTTCCTGCTTCGTGCAAAGTCCGAGATCACCCAAAAATGTGCACCTAGTAAGGTCTTTTCTGAGTGTGCCTTGGTTGTGTCTGTAACAATCTTGATTCTGGAAAACATTGTCTTTGTGATACCCTTCTAAGCAAACATCTTCTAGTCTACTTTTTTCCCTGCCTTTTTGGTTAGTGTTTGTTGTGTCTAGTGTTTTTTCTTACACATAGATCTATAAATGTGCTTATCACATGTGTGTCTGACTTTGGAGTTAAACAAATGAAGAAAAACCCTTTAAGCCAGTCTTGTGGGACATCCCTGGGAACAAAAGAAGACACAGACAAAGCTCTGCTCTGCTCTGTCTAAGACAAGCAGTGCTTTCTGCCCTCTTCGGGTGCACAACCAGAACAGATTGAAAATGGATGTGAGTAAGTTAAAAATGGCCTGAAGTTCTCTCACTCAGACTTAGTTGGGGATGTGTTATTTAAAGTTTGTTTCCATAACTAAACATTATACTAATAGATATTTGTTTTGAAGTTTATAGTTCCGGAAAGGTAATTCAATTCTATTAAGTTTACTTACTATTTTTGTTGGGGTGGGAGTTTAGAGTTCACCTTTTCACCAATTTCTTTCTCAACTTTATAAGACTTTTTAAGCACTTTTACCTCCTGACATGTGACTAGGGATTTTGAAGGACAGTGGTGAAAACAGATGTGGCCCATTTTTTTTAATGGAATTTTCTCTCTAATGTCTTCCTTGAAAGATGATTTTCCTTTCTCTCTCTTGTCCTGACTTTATGTTCTCCATATTCAAACTTTAAGGGCCTTTTAAATGGATATTTGAACTTAGGCATGTACATCTGGGATTATTAAATTCCCATTACTTTGAAAATTGATGTAGAGATACTTAATTTTTTTATGAAAGTTACTGTGTTCTTTGGAATTTAGACAAAAATTCCACTGCTGCCAAAGTCACATTTTTCATCTTCAGAAGTTTGGCTTCAGGTTTATAGATTTGTGTAACCCTTGAATCATTGAATCATTTCCCTAACATTGCATGCATTTTCTCCACAAATAGGGCGATGCCTTGATAAACCAAATCTGATATCCCAGTTGGAGCAAGAAGAGGTTATAAGAGAGGCCAGAGGAAGTGGTCCAGACATCTGTCCAGGTGAGCACAAGTGACCAGGGCTCTCTGGGAAGTGACTGTGGCGTGGGAAGCAGGAGTGGAACGTAGTCTTTCCTCTGACGAAGGTAGACATGCACATCAGCATGAACTACCACTGTCTTTCCTCTTCTCCCAGCTCAGCCTTTGTCATCTCATACTTTGGCCTGGGGGAAAAAAAAACAAAGGTGCAGTTTTTTGTATTTTAAATTTTAAATCACTGGCTGGAGAGATGGTCCAAGGTTAACTTTGAGAGAACCAGAGTTCAGTTACCAGCAACCATTCAGGAAGATTCACACCCGCCTATAATTCTAGCACCAGGGGACCCCAACCCCTCTGTTTACCACAGCCATCAGTATATACAAACCTAAACACAATTAAAAATAAAAAATAATTGTAAATTTTAAGTCACAATTTCCATTTTTGATTATTTGTTTTGTCCATTTTTATCAATCTCAATATATGTCTAGAATATATTTTCTTTGACTCCTAAAATTTCCAGAACCAAATCCCCCTTCTTTCCAGTCTTTACCAAGTATTCTGACCTCTCAGAGTCTTCCTTAAATTATGTATGCATGTCACCATCTTTCTTTTTTCTTCCATTAACTTATTTTCTTTTTAACTTGTTTCAGATTTGGAGACTGTGCTGAAAGTCAAATGGCTAGCTCCTGAGAAGCACACTTTTGGAAAACAGCATGCAAATAGCCGAAGAACACTAAAACTGGAGGTGATGATTTCTGGGTTTTCCATGTTAGAAAAGATAGAAAACCAAGGGAGTCGTTATGAACAGTAACATTTAAACTTGAGGAAGTGTTGTGTCTGGGAAGATACTGTGAGATATGATATTTTGCTAGAGGAAAAAATTAAGCCAACTTCAAACATTTCTTTACTGAGGGTTCCTACACTTGTAGGAACTAGATGTGAATTGGGTGTTGGGTGTTTGAAACATAATGGTCCTAAATTTGTCAGAAAATGTTTTTGGATATAAGGATTTATAGCCAAATGGCTGTAACATTGAACAAGCTCAAACTAAGCAGAAGTCATATATAAGTACTGAGAAGAGCCAAGCTGTTTTATAATGTTGTAGATTTTCTGGGAAAGGGATGGTACATTATTAATATTATTAATTATAGATACAATTTATGTCCTAATTAACAGGAAAAAGATCATCATGGAATGAAAATAAATGAATGCAGTCAATGTTTTAAGGTCTTCAGCACAAAATCTAACCTTACTCAGCACAAGAGAATTCATACTGGAGAAAAACCCTACGACTGTGGTCAGTGTGGAAAGTCCTTTCGAAGCAAATCTTACCTTACTGTACACAGAAGAATCCATAACGGGGAGAAACCATTTGAATGCAATTACTGTGCGAAAGCATTTAGTGATCCCTCGTCCCTCAGACTTCACATAAGAATTCACACTGGGGAAAAGCCCTATGAGTGTAACCAGTGTTTTCATGTCTTCCGTACCAGTTGTAACCTCAAAAGCCACAAGAGAATCCACACGGGGGGCGAGAATCACCATGAATGTACTCAGTGTGGAAAGGCCTTCAGTACAAGGTCCTCTCTCACTGGGCATAATAGCATCCACACGGGAGAAAAACCCTTCGAGTGCCATGACTGCGGGAAAGCCTTCAGGAAAAGCTCGTATCTGACCCAGCACTTGAGGACTCACACTGGAGAGAAGCCCTACAAGTGTAATGAGTGTGGGAAGTGCTTCAGCAGTAGCTTCTCTCTTACTGTACACAAGAGAATCCACACTGGAGAGAAGCCCTATGAGTGCAGTCACTGTGGAAAAGCTTTTAATAACCTCTCGGCTGTGAAGAAGCACTTAATGACTCATACTGGGCAGAAGCCCTATGGGTGCAAGCACTGTGGAAAGTCTTTCACCAGTAACTCCTACCTCTCGGTGCACAAAAGAGTGCACAACAGGTGGATATGAATTGTGGTGAGAAATTACTGAGAGAAAACTTCGTTGGTCCTAATATAACTTGAGAGAATTTACATCAGGTGTACAAATTATTTATTGCTGTGTAATATATGCTCACCCCAAATTTTGTGGCTTTAAACAAATACCTCACATTTTATAGGTCAGGAATATAAGGGAACCTTAGTTGTGTAGTTCCTCTGCAGGATTTCTCATGAGCTTACATTCAACAAGTGAATCTTTTGTTGAAAGACTCATCTTCTAAAGTTGTCATCGAAGGAACGACTTCTAGGATGGCTCATCACATGCCTGGGAATTTACTGCTGGTTATTGACAGGAGACCTTCACTGACTCACCATGTCGGCCTCTTCCCATGATTGTTTCTTCATAATATGGCAAAAGAAGAACCTCTCCCCCAGTGTTCCAAGAGAAGCCAGTTAACAAATGAAGTATCATTTATGACCTCACCTCCAAAAGCTACAGTTTCACACCTTCCCTATTGCATTCATCAGACACAGACCAGCCTTGGTAAAACGTGGGAGAAAACTGTAATATCTGAAGGTCAGGAGACAGCTCTCTGAGAACCATCTAAGAACCTCACCATGAAATTAATGAAGTCTTCAATAGATCTTGATGCTTTTAATCCATAGGAAGTGACATTCAGTAAATTGTTAAATCTCTGTGCAGAGACATCTGTGTGATAATGCTTTTTAGCTCACATCTTGTACCGTGCCCCAAAGATACTGTGTTGGAAAGAACATGGTGGGTAGAATATTGGTCATGTGGTAATGATCTTTAGTGATGTCAGTCTTTTCAGTCTTTCTTGTGGGAAATCACACATCTGAAGAACAAAAGGAATTCAGGAAACTGTAAAGCAAAGTGTTCACATTACTGGCCACAGATAATGAGGCGCCCTGCTGTGATGATGGGAAACCTTCAACTGTTTTCCTTTCTGAAAGAGGTATGAGACTGCTTCCTGAGAAACCCCCTTGAGTATCATAGGCTTGGCAAGCCTTCGAGGATTCCTGTGACGTAGGAAGAATTTGGCAGTGATTCTTTAAGCACATACGTTAGAGGGCCACCTTAGAAAAGTGACCTAACACATGTAAGGATGCTTCAGCATCTGCTCTGGCTGAGCAACTGTGTAGTAATATACTGGGAATAAAATGGATGAGTAGGTAGTATTTGTAGGTTCAGTTGTTGTGCCCCGATTACAACCCCCAGTGAGACCACCAAAAACCAGAGAAGTCCAGATTGCAAAAGCAAGGTTTATTGTTAGAGTAATATGGGCTGGCTTGGAACTCGTCTCCACACTCGATGCAGAGAGGCAGAGAGGAGCTCAAGTCCCTCTGTGGGGTTAGCTTTTTAAAGGCAAAAGCCACAAGCCCTTCAGGGCGGTTGAGGGGGGGTTAGCACAGGTGTAAGGTCTTTGCTCTTTCCCATCCTGTTTTGTCAGCTTGTTTTATCTTTAGAGCAAGGTAACGCTGTCCCTGAGTCAGGACATCTTTGTCAGTCTCCACCAGATGGCCAAGCGTGCTTGTGCTTTGGCATTTCCTGAGTGGGGTGGGGGGCACTATCGTCTCTGGGAACACGAAGCTAGTCTAGGGTTTTTTATTTTAAAACACTCTGCTAGGAATTTTCTTCTCATTCCTTTGAGAATAAGGGATGAGGGTCTTACACAGCTACCAGCTTATTAATTTTAAATCTTTGTTTTATAAACATGTATGCTTATTATGTATAATCCCACCCCAAAATCAGTCCTTCAAATTTCAATGCAGTGTATTTATAACTCATCTTTTGAAGGGCTGAGCGTGGCAGCTCACATTAGTAACCCTAGCCGTCGGGAGGCTGGCAAGGTGGATTGTGAATTGGGTGCAAGCTGGACCTGTGGCAGAGTACTTTTGTCAGAGTGTAGGACTTTCTGATATTGATCTTTTCTCTTCTTTCTATTTAGTGTCCATTTTGTCCTGCTTAGGGCCAACAGGATGACTCAGTGGGTGAAGGTGCTTGCCACCAAACCTGATCACCTGAGTCTAGTCCCCAGAACCCAGACAATGAAAGTAGGCACTGATGGCACATGCCCTTAATCCCAGCACTCGTGAGGCAGAGGCAGGCAGATCTCTGTGAATTTGAGGCCAGCCTGGTCTACGAGAGCTAGTTCCAGAACAGCTAGGACTGTGAGAAGCCACATCTCAAAAAACAAAAAACAAAGAAAGAAAAAAAGAAAGAAAGAAGGAAGGAAGGAAGGAAGGAAGGAAGGAAGGAAGGAAG